AAAAAAAAAACTGACAGAATGCATTCATATGGACTCTTACCTTTTCCTGGGCTGGTGATAGATGGCACTAAGTCTCCATGCGGCCACTTATTCTTGTTGGTGGCTGCCAGTCAGTAGTGCGCTGACTGGTCGGCTGTGATAAATATTTTTCTTTTGAGATTTTTCAGCTCAAGTACAGCTTTATTGAAATGTATCCTCATCCAAACTCCATCATCTACACTAGAGTCTGTAAGAGGTCAGTTAAGGGGCTGGAGAGACAGCCCAGCAGTTAAGAGCACTTGGTGTTCCCCCAGAGAGCTTAAGTTCAGTTCCTGGCACCCACAATGAGCAGCTCACAGCCATCTCTTAACTCCAGCTCCAAAGCAGCCATTGGCCTCCCTGCACTTACATACACTGAGGCATGCAAGCACATTAAAAACAAAATTAAAAAAAAAAAACTGCATCACGGCACTTAGCAGGTGGAGGCAGGAGGATCCAGAATTCAAAACCACCAGAGGCTGCATAGTCAATTCAAGGTGAGCCTGGGCTACATGACAAGACTACCAGGAAAAAGAAAAGTAAAACTAAAGTCTTAGAACTATTTATCAGCTATCGGTATACCTACAGAGGTAGGAATGTCCCATACCTTTCAACCTCACCAACCAGCAAAAATGTATAAATTAAAATAGCCTTATTCCATTTCTTGTGTGCCACTGTGCACGTGTGAAGGTCAGAGGACAACTTGTCTGTGCTACTGTTATGCTCAGATCGCGGACCCCCAAAAGACCAGCAGATTGAATCCCGCATGTAAAAGCACAGAGCCTTATTTCAAGCTCTGACACAGCGGTGAGGGCAGAGCCCTGAGCTCAGGTGGGGCAGAGTTTTTATCATAGCAGAGGTTGGGGTGAGGCGATTTCCAGGGTCCAGGACCCTGACTGACTGACTGACAATTGTCTAAGGGTATTTGTAAAACAAAAACAGGTGGGTGATAGACTCGAGGACATCTGGCCACCTTATCTAATGGTTGGAATGTTTGGGATGTCAGGTACTTCCTCACCTCTGGGTGGATCCCTGGGTGGTATCAGCTTAAGGCTTTTTCTGGATCTGGGCGTTGGCTGCCAGTAAGCTGGTCACAGAAGCTGTGTCTAGGCCCCTAAGGGCAAGTTTTGGGGCCTCTCTCGGCCCAACAGGATTGGCATCAAGTGCATTTACCTGCTGAGCCATGATGACCCTATTTCCATAATTTTAAATACATAATAGCTTAGTCTTTGTCATACAAAAGTAACCTACCATCTACAGATTATTCTATAAAAGAGCACTACACAAAAAGCAAGATGGGTACTAATACATACTCTTCAAATATAGTAACCAGGGTTACAACAAAAAATTCTCTGTGGAAATGTTCGCTTTAGAACAAGTTACTCCTAAATTGATCATCACAATAGAATCATCTAGTTTCTTAAAGGGAGAAAAGGGGGAAGTGGGTGGGGACATCCTCGGGAGACCAATTAAAGAGAATTCCTTGCTTCCAGAGCTCTCCAGGTGATTGTGAAGTGCAGCGGGGTGAGAACAACATCCATCCCTGAGAGGAAAGCATTACAATCCCCTGCTTTACACGGGTATCACAAACACATCCAGAAAGGCAGCAGTTGGGTGGCATTACACCAGCTTAAGATCATGAGAAGATTCACAATGAGGACTTCCAATGAGAAAAATAAAACAACATATAAAAACAGGCCAAGCCAGGCGGTGGTGGTGCACGCCTTTAGTCCCAGCAATCTGGAGGCAGAGCCAGGTGGATCTCTAAGTTTGAGGACAGCCTGGTATATGGAGTGAGTTCCAGGACAGCCAGGATTGTTATATAGAGAAACCTTGTCTCAGAAAACTTAAATTTTATGTTTGAGTTTACATACACATACATGTATGTGTGTATCACATGTGTGCAGTGGCCACAGAGGTCAGAAGGCGGGTGTTGGATTCCATGGAACTAGAATTGCAGAGAGTTGTCGGCTGCCATGGGAGTGCTGGGTGTGGGGCCCCAAAACAGCTTGTCCACACAGCTGCCATGACAGGCTTTCTGGCCCAGACACAGTTTCTGGGACAGGCTTACTCACAGTCAACACCCAGACCCAGGAAAAGCCATAAGCTGAGCCCACCAGGGAGGGCCTAGTTGTAAGGTGAAGTACCTGACATCCCAAACATTCAATAGGTTAGATAAGGTGGCCAGATGTCCGAGTCTAGCACACACCTGTTTTTGTTTTACAGATACCACTAGACAAATGTCAGCTAGTCAGGGGCCTGAACCCTGGGAATCCCCTCACCCCAACCTTTCCCATGATTAAAACTACCCTGCCTGAGCTCAGGGCTCTCTGCTTTCACCGCTGTGTTGGATAGACAGACCAAGCTTGGAGCTTGAAAATAAGGGCTGTTTTCTTTTACATATGGGATTTGGTCTCCGTGGTGGTCTTTTGGGGGTCCCTGTAATCTAGGCGTAACAGCCAGTGCTATTAATGCTCTCTCCAGCCACACGATACATACTCTAAAGATGAGATCAGATAGTCAAGCTGCAACATGCACACAACAGCAGGTAGATCACATAATTAGGACAGAGCCCCTGGTCTACAAAGCAAGTTCCACACAGCCAGAACTGCTACTGCTACACAGAAACCCTGTCTTAAAAAAAAAAAAAAAAAAAAACCTCTGAAAGGTGTCAATGGACAGCCACTACTGTGTGATTGCTTTAAAAGATTTTTAATTGCCAGGTGATGGTAGCCCATGCCTTTAATCCCAGCACTCAGAAGACAAATCCAGGTGGATCTCTTTGAATTCAAAGCCAGCCTGGTCTACAGAGCAAGTTCCAGGACAGGCTCCAAAAGCTACACAGAGAAACTCATCTTGAAAAAACAAAAAAATTTTAATCATGTGTATGTGGTAGCATAATGTATGCCATGCACATGCAGGTGTCTACAGTCTAGAAATAGGACCAGAGTCCCTCGGAGCTGGAGTCATGGGATGCTGTTGTGCCTTCTCTTCAGTTATAATGTTTTTGTTTTAATTTTATGTGTATGGGTGTTTTGACTACATATATGTCTGTGCACCATATTCATGCCTGGTTGCCCAAAGAGGCCAGAAAATGCTGTTGGATCTCCACCCTGGACCTGAAATTACATATGGGTGCTGGGAATTGAACCCAGGTCCTCTGGAAATGCAGCAAGTGCTCTTAACTGCCGAGCCATCTCTCTAGTTCTCTTAAAAAAAATAAAAAGACACTGAAGTGTGCTTAACAGATCTGTCATAATGGTATTAAAGAGGTTTTTTTTTTTTTTGTATGACGGTGAGGCTTACACCCAGCCCTTTCATATACTAGTAGTTTCTACTGACGAATGACAGCCCAGCTCAGAAGAAGTGAGCAACAACCTAGCAATACCAATGAAGATGCATGGGGCTAGACTTGCACCCAAGTCTGGAATCCAGTACCCATCATGGTGTGATGTAGAAGATGCCTGATAGTACTTTACCTGGGGCCTAGCGGCCAGCCCACCTCTACATCAGTGTCAGCAAAGCTACACACAACCCACAGCTGCACGGACCTGACCTCCCAAGCCTGGCCACTGACGGGGAGCTAGACTTCCCTATCAGGAACAGGCAGGCCTTCTCTTCCCTAACGCTTCCCCTACAGCAGGCCTGACTGAATGTCAGCAGTGAAGAGATTTAATAAGTGGGGCTAGAGATGCTCAGTGGATTAAGAGTGATTGTACACAACCCTGAAGACTCCAGTGTAGATCCCAGCACCCACATACCAAGTCCTGTGTGGCCTCCTGGGCCTGTAACCCTGAGGCAGTGAGGGTCTGGAGAGGGATCACTGAGGCTTCTGGTTCAGGGAGGGAATCTACCTCAACGGAATAAGGCAGAGAATGATAGAGGACATCCAACACACGTTCCCCTGGTTTCCAGACACACAGGTGGGTGAGTGTACACACACACACACACACACACACACACACACACACACACACACGGCACAGACTGAGTATGGTCTAGAGTCTTATAACTAAAAAAATGTCCATTTATTTACTTTTTGTTGTTTACGTGTCCATGTAAACATGTGTGTACATACATGTGAAAAAAGGTAGACACCAGTTATCTTCCTCAACTATTTTCTACTTTTTCTTTTTCTTTTTTTAAAGGTATAGTGTCTTGCTGACTGGCTGGCCAATGAGCTCTGGGGATCCTTTCTGTCTCCATGGTGCTGTAGTTCCAGGTACCACCATGCCAGGCTCTCACGATGCTGAGAATCAAACTCGGGTCCTCACGCCCACACTTTACCAACAGAGCCATCTCTCTAGCTTCTCTGGTTATTTCAGACAGAACGTGGCTAAGGAGCCAGGCTGGCTCAGCCTCTGGGGCTGAGATTCCATCACCATGACCAGCCAAATGTCCACACTTCGGTAGAAACTTCATTTTCTTATCAATGTGTAGAACAATCAAACTGGATGAAAGACAACAGACACTCTAACTGGAAGGTACCTGGTCTCTCTTGATCCCACTATTGCTTTTTGTTTGTTTCTGCTTCTTTTGCTGTTTGTTTGAAGCAGAGTTGAAATTATTTCTTTGTGTAGCCCAGGCTGGCATTGAACTCACAGAGATTCCCCCAGGCTCTGCCTCCTGAGTACTTAGGATTACAAGTTTGTGTGCTATCACTGCCTGGCCAGAGTTGCGGAGCTGGGATTTATTTAAGGTATCTTATTATTTTTATGGGTAGGAATGCTTGCCTGTGCCATGTACGTCTGTGCACCATGTGCGTGTCTGGTGCACAAGGAGGCCAGAAGTGGGTATCGGATCTCCTAGAACTGCAGTTACAGACAGTTGCATGCTGCCAGGTGGGTGCTGAACATGGGTCCTCTGACAGAGCGGCCAGTGCTCTGAACTGCTGAGCCAACTCTCCAGCCCCAAAGACATTTTAATACTGACTGTAAGCACAGGGTCAAGAGAAAGAGAGGACCTCAGACACAAACTAGAGCCTAATATGGGAGGGCTTCTCTGACATGACCCTCAATGTTGCTGACTTTCTTCTGTATTTGACTGCTGTCTTCACTGAAAACCATGACTTTCAACAGCTCTGCTGTGTGTACAGGGCGAAAGTACGTGTGGCACACGTTCCTGAGGGAACGTGGAGGTCAGGGGACAAACTCAGGTGCCAGTCCCACCATACACCTTGCTAGAGCCTGGGTCTCCTTGTTTCTCTGCTGGCCCTGGATAACAGGTGTTTACATTTGGCTTTACCACGGGTTCTGGAAATTCAAAATTAGGTCATCATCACCTGACAGGCACTTCTGTTCACCAGGCCATGTCCTCAACACAACAACAGCTTTCGTGAGTTCTGTGTCCCAGCAAGACACCCACCCTAAGGAAGGGCAGGCTGCTCATTTTTAATATGTGTGTGTCTGTGTATGGACACATGCTTGTGAATGCAGGTACCCACAGAGGTCAGAAGAGGGTGTTGGACCTCCTGGAGCTGGAGTTACAGTTGGTAGTGGGCTGCCTGACATGCCTGCTGGGGACTGAACTCATGTCCTCTGCAAGAGCAGTTTTTGTTTGTTTGTTTTTAAGATTTATTTATTTATTATGTATACGTTGTTCTGTGTGTACAGGCCAGAAGAGGGCACCAAATCTCATTACAGATGGTTTTGAGCCACCATGTGGTTGCTGGGAATTGAACTCAGGACCTTTGGAAGAGCAAGCAGTGCTCTTAACCTCTGAACCATCTCTCCAGCCCAAGAGCAGTTCAGTTTTTTTTTTTTTTTAATGCCAAATGCTGTTTATTGAAGGAGGGAGGAGGTCTTAAGTACAGGCTTACAGCACAATGGGAGAACCCCAGAGGGCAGAAGTTTACTGCCGATGTTTTACAATCTTGCATCTAAGCTGTTAACATCCATTATTCAGGATAAACAGACAAGGAACTTCCCTTAAGCATTCAGGAGGGTAGAACCCGGCAGGAAATTAGTATAGGGAGGACATCAAGGTCAAGGTCAGCAAGCAAGGCTACAGTTACCCAAAACGGGTGCCAGGACCCTACAGGTTTCCCTTTTACTAAAAAATGAGCTTCTGACTTAGGTTTCGTGGAACGTCAGCAGGTCACCTTACCCGTCATGGAGACGCCTGCCCAGGCCACACAGGCGCTCTGTCTTAGGTTGGTGAGCGGCCTCCTAGGTATTTATTACCCATCTCTTAATACTCATTATCATACAGGCTCAGTCATGTGTGAGCTGCAGAGTTAACTGCTGCCAAAGATCTCAAAGTGGCACTGGGCTTGCAATCTGTGTGTTCGACACAGAAAAGACCAACAGAGGTCCTATCTCACCCATAGCCAGTAGGCTAAAGGCAACTGAGCCATTCCCTTCCTTAATGAGCCTTACTTCAAATTGGAGTCCTTGTAAGATAGTATCCCAAAAGCAAATGGAACTTGAGTTTATAAATTTATAATTTTCAAAGCCAATCAAAATGTATATAACTACTGAATTAAATTTATCATGCCTAATAGAATGGAAGATTAACTAACTGTGGTAGCTACTTTTGTTGCCAGGGTCTCCACTGTGCTAGCTGTTAGTAAGCAATTATGAAATGGTAATCCCAGAAACAGTAGCTGTGGTGGCTGCCATTGCTATAACAGCAACAGCAGCAGCAGCAATGTCAAATTCTCTTCTGGATTGTGTGGACATCCACTGGCATGGATACAACTCCAGTAACACAAATCACCAAGGCCCATTTTTCTTGATCCCAGCATGACTTTAGCTGGCAGCTTTTCTGGAGAATCCAACCTCATGGCTACAATTCCTAGGCTTACATTAATGCTTGCCAAAGCTGGCCATATTGGGCTCTCAATCTCCATTGGCATCAGAAGGGTAGATTTTTTTCATGAAGACCCATTAGGTCTCTGTCATGTTGGGCTTCAGCAGCAGCCACAGGACACATTCAGTGCTCAGGAATCCAAAGAGGAACCTCATTGTCCTGAGGAAAAACATAAACAGAACCCCGGGCCCACACCAACATCAGATCCGGTCTCCTCCATGTGCTAGTAGAAAGATCCTTCCATCGCTCCAGAGAGTGATTTGCAACAGGAGCCCTCCAGTGCTTATCTGCATCGGATCCTCCAGCAGAATCACCGATAAAAAATTTTTAAATATATAAAACAAAGGGAAGAATAGAATGTGGAGAAGAATGATGAGTCCCTAGTTTTCCCTTTTTTTAACTCTAGTAAAATGTTTGTTTGTTTTTTTATCTTTTCTTTTTCTTTTTTTCTTTTTTTTGGTTTTTCGAGACAGGGTTTCTCTGTGTAGCTTTGCACCTTTCCTGGGACTCACTTGGTAGCCCAGGCTGGCCTCAAACTCACAGAGATCCTTCTGCCTCTGCCTCCCAAGTGCTGGGATTAAAGGCGTGTGCCACTACCGCCCGGCCCTTGTTTGTTTTTTTAATATTTCAAAATTTTCTTTTATTTTTATTTATTTTTATTGTTTAAAATTAATTTATTTATTTTTCTTCTATCAGCTTGATAGAGTATGTATTCTTATCTTAATAGTGAGATGCTTCATTGAGGCTTGCTCAGTAATTGAGTAAAACCGAAATTTATTAGAGGCCACAGTCGTCCTAGGGACCTCCATGCTATATATATAGCCTCCATGGTTCTGTGGGTTGTAGTCTGATAGTTCTTTATTTTATATCTAGAATCCACTTATGAGTGAGTACATACCATGATTGTCTTTCTGGGTTTAGGTTACCTCACTCAGGATGATTTTTTCTAGTTCCATCCATTTGCCTGCAAATTTCATGCTTTCATTGTTTTTCCCTGCTGAGTAGTAGTACTCCATGTATATATGTACCACATTTTTTTTCATCCATTCTTCAGTTGACGGGCATCTAGGTTGTTTCCAGGTTCTGGCTATTACAAATAGTGCTGCTATGAACATAGCTGAGCATGTATCTTTATGGTATGAATCAGCATCCTTG